GATTCCATGCAGTTTGCTATTATCTTTGATGTCTTAAATAACCCTCTAGCGTCAGCAAACTTTCAGGTCACTAGAATTGATGCCTCGACCCTAAGCAATAACACAAACATGCTGCTTGCTCTTGTCTTCTGAAGTCCAGTGGCCAATGCGTTATGTTTTCAGAATTATTAAGCAAGAGACATCATTTCAGAGTGTGCAGCTTGCAAGCTGGGAGTTTGAGCTGTGGATGTTATAGAGGACTCTGTCTCTTAGTATGTAGCTTATTTCATATCCCAGACATTAAATTGCTGGCGACTGTGCTGTAATTTCCTGCAGACACTTGGGGAAATTTTGAATCTGCGTTTTACAGGGTGCTGAAGAGGCTGTATTTCATAATCTTTTCTTCCAATTTCTGCCTTTTGGGACTGTATAAGTGACCCAAAAATGTCATTCTCTGTGTATTTGGGCAAAAGTTGTCAGCCTAAATATATCAAAACCAAAGAACTTGTATAAACAGAGAGTGAAGGTATAACGACTGCGCTGCTTTTAGATGTGAGTGTTTTGTGTTCCTCTATTTTGGATATTCGATGTTTCAAAAATGCCCGGTATCCTCAGATTTGAGAGATGAGTTGTTTCTATTTTTCTGCAAGTCTTAATAGATATTTCTAAGATTGTTTGTAATTCTCTTAATATTTCATAATATTTTGATAGGTAAAGCTGCTTTATACCTCTGGATAACTTTGTGTTACCAGCCAAAGGCAAAAGGCTGATACCTTCTGTGCAGGTTAACCCTCTCTCACCTTACAGGCACAGGAAGCTATTTTTTTTTTGGTACTCTTTTAATTGAGCCTTACTTTTATGACGGCACTATTAGCAAAAATAAGCATATTACATAATGGATGAGATGAAAATAATCACAGCACGGAATCATACACGCCCCCCTTCTGTTTTCAGGTTTCTAAAGAGCACGTAAGAGTAACCCCGAAAGCATTCTGTGTTGGCTGGGTGGATGTATCCTATCAGCTTACAGTAAAGGGCAGAGCCATGCTATTGGGCAAAACACTTTTAAATTATTATTTATGGAGTTGCATTTGCAGTTGGTATAAAATGCAGGACTGGTTTCACATGCCTCCTCCAGAGCCAGGAGAGCCCGCTCCTGAACAAGATCCCCTTTTGTTTCCCGGACTATGTGTGCAGTGGAGAGAGAGACCTCTGGGAAGGGGTACAGGTTAGAGCCAATAGTTACATTTTGGTTTAGGAATGCAGTCTTTCTATCTGATATTTTGGACTGGTTTTAGCTTTTTTCCGTCCTGATTAATTTTATAATTAATACTGTAGTGCTAGCATTAATCAAATGTTTTCCTGTAATGTCTCGTGTCTGTTGACAGATGAGTATTTTGTTTAGTACTGTGGTGTGAGGGACCTCCAAAAGTCTCTCTTGACTGTCTTGTGGAGTTATAACTCTTAATTCCACTGCAGCTTTTTAGTATTAAGCTTATAACTTTTTTTTTCCCCTCCTCCCTTTTTTTTTTAATATTATTGGAGATGGGAAGAGGTGTGTGTAAAGGGAAAGGAAGTCTTCAGTAATTCCATCTTTCTTCCTAGGGTAAAATATAAACTACAGTTTTATGTGCAGTATTTGCTTTTTAAAACAACAGTGAAATAATATTTTAGTTCTCATTTGAATTATTAGTGTTCTGTGTTAATCGTCAGAAAGCTTCATTTGGCTAGTGAGCATTTTCTTTCTTGTTTTAAAATATGATGTTGGGCAAAGGCAGATTTGTTGTTGGTTCCTAATACAGTGTCTTCCTAAGGAATGTGGTGATCTTTAGAAACACAAAGGTAGTGTTTATCTGCAATATCTGCTTTTTAAGAAACTGGGTGAAGTAGGATTTTTTCCACTTACAATTCAACAGTATCGATGTCTTCTGTTCTCAGTGCCGAAACTCCATCCTCTGCCTTGCTGGAGAAGGCAGGAGGGGAGAAATTTGCACTGAGAGGTCTTAAGTTCACTTTAGGAGCCTAAGTGAGCAGCTGTTTTTGGAACCTGTAATGCTAATTAATGTCCTTATTTTAAGTTAAGTTGGTCTCATTTCTGTCTTTTGCTCAGTTCTTAAACTATAATTATACAATTTTCTTTCAGTAACAAAGTAACTACTGGAGCTTAGTTTCTCTGGAAGAAAAGCAGAAATAGTAGTACCTAGCCCTCCCTGTCCTTTAAGTATCTTTGAAGTTTCTGGAAAGGTGGTTCTACCTTTGACTTTCAGTAAATCACAAATAATGGCTTTCAATGTCAAATTTGTGTCTATTTACAAGTAATGATGTGATGAAACATGAGGATTATAGTTAGTTTAGTTAGTTTTTTTAACTTACTTACATCACTTTGTTATGCAGTTGCAGTTCTGGAACCAAATACTGTTGTATGTTTTCAGGAACGTTTCTAAAATATGCTGCTTTTTTTTTTTTTTTTTACAAGTCCATTATGAGTGAGCAGCATTTGACTTCACACAGCCTTTTGTCACGGATGACCTCTGTGATATATTCGTCAGAGTATGAATGGTTTGCACTATAAAAGCTGATGTTAGCCTGTATTTGTTTTTGGGATTATACACCCGGCAGCTTATGTTACTGTATTACTCGCCCTAATAAGCGGGTCCCAAACGGATTGATCTTTTGCCATGCGTGCAAAGATCCTGCGTGCAAAGATCCTGCGCACAGCGTGTATCTGGCGTGTTGTGAGATGTGTCAGGCCTGCGGAATGTGCTCTGTGGACTTGGTAAATGAGTGTTGCAAAGGGCCAGTGCTGGCTGTCTGCAGCCCAGCTGGAGCTGCTGCTGGAGCGAGATGGCTGGGCAGGGTGGTCGAGCTCTGCCCAAACGTGGGATAGTCTGTCCCTGCCACTGCCCTCCTCGTCAGAGCGCTGGTTTACTAGCTCCATGAGCTGTCAAAGGCCGTGATTCTGTTTTACTGGGTTTATTTCAAGAGTATAGTTTTTTTTAAATGCAGTCAGCTTCACAACGAGCTGAAATTTGATTATTTCCCAAGCATGTGTGGACAACTTCTTCTTTTTTTTTTTTTTTTCTTTTTTTTTAAGGTAGTCTATAGAGCATGAAAAATATCGTTCAGTAGTAATGATGCTGGTTTTACTAAACAGCTCTATCCTCTTTGGTCTTCTCAGGTTTATTTTTCAATTGAAAAAGATCAAAAGCACATGTAAGTGTTTCACTCATAAACATGAAAAAGGCAAGACATGGAAGTGTGGCAACTTGGTCCTACCTGTAAACATTAGCATCTGCTTCTGGAATCTAGTAGGCAGTTGTACCACTTAAAATTATGTGTGTTTAGCAAACATATTATCTTCATGGGGCTTTTCTGGTTTGCGTTTTGGTTTTCGTAGGAGTGTCTCGTTTCAAATTATCTCTCAGTTATTTAATCTTCTATGAAGGCGTTCTGATTACTAGTAGCCATACGGCAGGACCAGTGCATTTTTGACATTCTGATGATGAAACTGCAACAGCAAACAAAGTTTTCTGTGTCTGTTCATGCCAGCTTTCAGAGCTAAAGGTAATATGGAAGCTATAAACAAATATCTTCAGTGTCTTAAAGTGAAACTTCCTGTTGCTTTGGTTAACAGCACTTAGGGGGCTCAGGAGACAAAATTTGCAGAGTTTTACTGAGTTTTATCACAGAGTTGAAATAGACTTGAGTGCTGCTGAGGCGGTGATGGGGAGGGAAGAGTGTGTGTAAGTGTATGGTGTTAATTTTGGTAGCTGAAATTAAGTAGTACTCCTGATCTCTCTGTTTTTGTGCTGCACATTTCATGCAGTCAGTCATCAGTTTGTGCCTTTGAAATGCTTCGCTATTCAAGAGCTGGAGATGATTAGATGTGTTTCATGTTTCTAATCAGCCGCAGGATATTGGCCTCAGATAAACCTGATCACTTACTTCCAGCCGGAGTCTGTAAGACTGAAAGGGGAGTGGAAGTTTCCTCCCCTTAGTCTTCTATCCTGTGTCTCCTGACTCAGGGGAGATGAGGAAAACAGCTGCCAACGAACTCGCTCTTGCGAGAGCGAAGAAGATCCTGCTGTGTCTAGTCTTTCTGGTAGTCCGTGCCTCAAATCATGGCTGTTGGTTAGGCTGCCCGCTCTTAGGTTGTCTTCCAGGATTAGCAGTTCTTGTGATACCTGCAGTGTTTGGAGCTGCTGCAGCTACTCCTGGTTTGAGTAAAGTCGCCTTTGTTTTCTGGGGTTTTGCTGAATTGCTCACGGTGGGAATGGTGGCACTGAGAGCTGCCCGCTGTCTGAGAATGCTTCTGAAGGTGAGGTAAAGATGTGGAAGCGTCCCAAATGTGGACCATGGAATGTGGTGGGTTACTTCCAGTTTCTTTTCAGAGATAATCCTCACCGTCATATGACTCGTTTGTAAAATCCCATGGTTTTAGTTAACATGATTTTTAGTTATTAATGGTTTCATGTAAATTGGGATTTTTCAACTTTTACTTTTTATAAGGCACTTTTTTTTCTCTGCAACTGCTGTTATTCTCTCGGTACTTTGTTTACCAAGCTGGTGGTAATCTTCTCTCAGATCCAGTGTTGTTGGTAGTCAGGCTGTTGCCTGAATACTCCCACAGTATTTTCCTTCCCACAGTCAGAAATAAAGAACGTTGCTGCCCTAATAAGCCTTTCTTTTTTTTTTTTTTTTTGCTAGCTAACGAGTGAACTCGGCAACACGGGTCACTTATAAAATATCTTCGGTTCAGTGCCATTTGTGGAAAGAGGACTGAAAAAAATATTATGATTTGGAGCAGAGCTCTAGGAAGCGCTTAGTTCTTGGTAAAAATTCCTTTTTTAAAAAAAAAGCAAAACCCATTGGTCTGTCACATGCCTTCTGTTTGGCTCTGATTTGTGGTCTTTATGGCTATTCTGGACTTCTGGTCTTAAACAGAGCATTATAAAAAAAGACATTGCTGTTAAGTTGTATTTTATATTTAAAATTTCTTTCTTTCTTCTTGTAGATTTGTTTGTAAATGCATCATAAACAGACAGCCCAGAATGAAGAAAGCAAGCAGGAGTGTTGGCTCAGTGCCCAAAGTGCCTGGAGTAAATAAGACTCAAACAACTGAAAAAGCCAAACCAGAAAACGGCTCCTCAGTGTCTGCAGTAACAAAACTCTCCAAAACCGGGACATCAGCTTCTCTTTTGAAGGTAATAACCAATCGAATGTTCAGATTATTTGTATTTTTTTACAATAAAGCTATAAAAAGAGTAGAATGTGTCTTTAACGCAGCTTAGATGAGAGGTTTGTTACACAGGTAACTGAAGGGACACAGCACTGGGCAGGGTGATAGCACAAACGCCACACAGGGTCCTATATTTTTCATACTGAGGTGAGTGATGTGATGGAGAGTAATAGACTTCGCAGAACTTGGTGGTTCTGCAAAAGGAGGAGAGTGGGAGCTGCGTTCTGATGAACGTTATTTGTAGTGTCATATTATGCTTGAATGGTGTGTCGGTGACTAATGGGATTTGATAAGAGTTATAACTAATTCTGAAAGAAGAACTAATGAGGTATGTAACGTGAGAAAGTTTTTGATATTGGTGATCCGTGTCAGGTCAGTGCAACTGCGTTTTTCTAGCTGTTCTGGCCTTTGCTTTGTGTGAAGTACTGCTTGTTGATTCTTGCTCCTAGAACAAGTTCAAAGGTAGAGGTTTTCTCTTACATTAGCAAAGCAGGGCAGTAGATTTAGGAGCATATGGTTTTCAACGACCAAGAAAAATAAGACATTACCGAGCTGTGGAGTTTTCACCTGGGAGCGAACACATCTGGGTTACTGGATGGTATGAGCCTGCCTGGTCTGCCTCCCTCTCCTGGCACAGACACAGGGCTGGACCCACCTCTTGTAGCCTTTCTGCAGCCACGGCTGCAGGGCTGGGACACAGCTGCTGCTGCTGCTTCTACTGCTGCTGCTGCTGCCCTGGGGCAAGTGAGCAGAACAAGGAAAAGGGCTGGTGTCTGCAACTGGGACCTGAACCAGCATCACCTAGAGGAAGCCAAACAGGCCATTTAAATAACAGGCAAATAAAGACCTAAATTTAAAGAAGTGGGTTGAGGTCTCTCTGTAATAGCTATGCAGGTTTACCCAAGTCAAAAGGTGTGTTTACTTTCTCTCTTCTTGCCTTTCTTTTATGGAAGAATGGCTAATACTTTTGCTGATGAACTTGCAAATTAACTTTCAGCTAGGTTTTTTTCCTAGTGCCTCCCCTCCATTCCTCTGCCACCCAACATATCCTGCAGTTTTCTTTACTGTAAATAATCTTTTGATGCTTGTTGACATTACTTATTTTGTATTTCTAGAAACCTCTCAAAGAATATGGAAACAAAAGTCCTTTGTAGTTTATTTATCAAGTTTATTGTGTCATATCTCTCAGTGAGATGAAGGAGGAGGATGATCTAACACTGAAGAAATTTGACTCAGTATGCTTTCACAATTTTACTTATATTAGTAACACTTCTGGCTATGTTTGGGTGTAGGATTAGAATTTATGACAGTTTTATGTTTGAGGCACAATGAAAATTTTTGTCTTAATTGCTAAGACTTATCTCAGTTTTATGTTACAGCCTGACTTAATCATATAGTTGGATGTCTTTTACTTGTTAAGCTGCTGTTGTGCAAGCTATGTGACTTAATAATGACAACTCTTACTTTCTTTGAGTCTTCCATACTTACACAACCAAGTTAGTTATCTGTATTTTCTGACTTACTGAAACTGGCAAATCACATTTGTAATTACTGGCTTGAAAGAAGTACAAAACAAATGTTATTTTAAAGATTATTTTTAATATAGTTTTATATTTGATCTTGTTGATGAAGCATTTAGCACATTGTTTTTCTCATAGTGGTTGTAGGATCTTCTCTAAGACTTGATGAAATGGTGTATGTTATGTATTTCATTTAATATTACTTGACAAAAAAAAAAAGCTGACATTAAATAACTTCAATTGCAACAGCTTGCTAGTTTATTCGGTCCTCAAGTGTGCATATAGCTACAGAAAACTGAGCTGGATATTGAATGAAAGGCCACTCTTAAGGAGTAAAAATGCACACAGTAGTATATAAATCTTAAATCGGCAATAATTGAAACTTGAAAATTGCTTTCTAATTATAGTCTGGTTTTTTTTTTCCTGTTCTCTTCATAATACAACCATAGGCTGGTGTTCAGCTTTGGGTGGACTTTTTTCACTGTGCATTGTTCCATAGATTTGTCCTTTTTTCTGGAGTTTTCAGTGTGTGGACAATGAGCACAGGAAGAAACTGAGAGACCCACCCTTCTGTACAGCTGAGCACTGTTCCAGAGCTCGGTTTGTCCGTCTGCTTCAAAATGCCTTTTTGTCAGTTTGTTCTCTGTCGGATTTTTACCTCTGCTTTGCCTAGGTCTTTTGTATATGTTCAGCACCCACCAGCACACAGAAGGTTAACTGCCAGACACTGCTAACTCTTAATCTGTCAAAAAATACTCTGTAAATACCAGCATGTTATTTTTAAGATCATTGGGTTTTGACTTTAGCTAATGAGCTTGTGATCATGCTAACACAAATGTAATTAAATGTCAGCTGTATTTCACACAAAGGAATTGCAAAATCCAGTGTCCCTGAAAAGCCAGGACTTGGACACCAACATTTGAATATTAAAAATTAGAATGTGTTTTCAGTATTCATGTATTTTGTTTGCAAAATGCAGCAACTTAATTACAGATTGTTGTGAAGTTTTGATGTTTGAAGTACTCAAATGCAGCAACAGCAAGCATCAAAGAAAATCCTAGATTGGAATAATTTTATATATATATATACACACACATGTATATATAGAGAGAGGGATTTGAATGAGGTGCAGTAAATAGGATATACGTGTTGATAAACTAAGATGAAGTGAATCGTAGAGGTGATGGTTCAAGTTTCGTCGCACTGAAGGAAGTATGTGAGGGAAAACAATATTAATTGTGTAAGCATAAAGTGTTTCATAATGTGGAAAATTGAAATAGATCTGGATAAGAATTTGTAATTATTATGTTTGTTAATTTTTCATAATGTTAAGGTTTTAATGCTAAACAGGATTGCATTGTTCTCATTAAGTGGGAGGAACTTTTCTTCCTTGAGGAAGAAGCTGTTAATAAATATACAATGTCAATTTTACTTCCATTAAAATATTTGCTACAAAAATACTTTCATTTTTAGAGTCAAGAGTGGTTGCCAGAGTGGAGTGTTACAGAAAGAGAGCTGCTGGTTTGTAATTTTTCCAGAGTTTTGCTAAATAGTTTTCTTTGCCAAGAGTATAGTGTTACAGTTTCTCAAAACTGTTTATTAACTGGCTGCAGAGGCAGCAGTGCCTTCCAGCCTAGACTAGAAATAGTTTATGGGTAAATCAGAAGAAGAACGGCTGTCTTAAATTCCTTTGTTCAGCAAGGACTGGAGATGACTAATGTCAGAAAGTGTGTATTTTGCTTCGCTGCTGCTTTTTTTTTTTCTCCAAGCTGAGTCACATCTTGACCTATTTGGCTTGATAACATGTACTTGTACTATAAGCGTCTAACAGCTTAATCTGACTTCCCCACTCTTTCAACAGGGTAAAAATGCTGACACCTAATAGCCCGTGGGAACTGCCAGGTTTGCAGACTGATGAGCAGATTCAGCAGCGAACCAGGAAATCACTGTTCTGTGTCTTTTGGTAATACCTCCTTTCAGGTGGTAGTTGCCTCACAAAGTAGTTTCCCTCTCCCTCGACCCCCATGCCCACAAAATTAGTTTAATTTAGATATGAAACCTGATTAGATTACAGGAGGGTTGTTGTACAGTAGTGGTTTGTGCTCGCCTCTTCCCCCCACACATGTAGTGTGTGCCTTTGTTGATTTTATAGCCCTGCAACATTTTTGTTTCCTCATTGGTACTGACATTGCACCTGGTGTTTTGCAGGGCTGTGTGACATTGCGGATCGAGGGAGGACGGAGCCCTTTGGAAAGGCTTCAGTTTACACAGCACGTGGAGTGGCTTTTCCATTGCACAAAAGCCATCTTAGAGGCACATCAAACTAGAGCCTCAGAATAATATATTTTTTCTTAGCCTTTTATAAACCTTTTTAGAAGGCTGTAGCATTTCCTAAGTGATTCAATAAAAACATTCTTGCTGTAGAGGATTTTACCCTTACAAATACCTATTTCTGTCTGTAAGTTTTCTGTACAGAACAAATATGGTTTTTTTCCCAAGCTCCCATTTGTTTTGCAGCTGCTCTTCTTTGTAAATGGCACAAATCCCATCCATGCCCTTTCCACAATATGGTGATCAGCATTCCTAAATGTTCTGAAATTTGCACTTGCAAAAAGAAACCATAGAGGATGGAGTGAGATGCTGGTGTTTTTTGAGTTTCGTTTGGTTTTTTTTTTTTTTTACATTAGGCAAGTGTGGCTTTGTTCTTCATGTATGGAATCCTAATGTCTGACAGATAGTTTTTAACATGAATATGTATGGCAGCTAGAAGTTACAAACTTGCAAAATTTGGAAGTCATGCTGCAAAGCAAGTGGTTAATTCCTAAGCACTACTTCGTAGCTGCTTGCTGGTTGAGACTTCAAATGTGTTATCCAGCTGAATAATACAGTTACTCAAGGAATGCTGCTAACACAGCTGTTTTCTTTTAATTTTTCTTGTCCTTATTATGGGAAAAATGTTTAGCATATTTTGATTTTTATCACCACTTGAAAACTGCATTTTAAAGAGTTTTAAAGTCTGCCAATTAATACTTAAGATCTTAAGATTTCTCGACTTTGCTTTATTCTGGAAGATGGGAATCTGGTTCTTGAGGCTCCTGTGCTTACTGCCTTGTCACATTCCTGGCAGCTTTTGCGGCTGACAGTAGTTTCAGGAATGGTCAGACGCTATATCCGTCAGGCAGGTCTACCAGCTCCGAGAGTGCCTAGTAAAGAGCATTAAAACAAGGCAAGGATACGTGGTGAGGGCAGCTTCCCTCCCCCCTCCCCAAACACTGTCCTGGTCTCGTGCGATTTGTAGCTTAGTATTTTGGGCTAGAAAATGTAGTTTATTAATGTTGGATTGATTTTTGTTGCAGCTTGATTTGATCTTTTTGTTGTGATCTTGTCCACAAGAAAACACTTCTTCATATTCTGTCGAAGGACATTATACTAACTTCCTAGTACGTGGTGGTTTTAGTATCCAAGAATTGTCTTCCCTTCTATGCTTAAGCAAGCTTTCAGTCAAAATTGGAAACTGTTACACTGTGTTGTGTTGCTGTGCTTTCCTTTATTACCCCTTGGTGTTGAAACACTAACAATTTTGTCTGGGAGAGGGAAGACTCAGTTTCTACAGTCAGCCCTTACCTAACGACTTGAAGTTCTGTTTCAGCTTGCCAGCTCTGCAGAGTGCGCTGCATTTGGACTTTTCAGCGTTCTTGCACAAGCACATGAGCAGTCAGATATGTACTTTTTAAACAGGTGGAATCTTTGACGGAAGAAGTGTTGGCCATGCAAACTTCTCAGCTGCCTGTCTTAAAGCTTCTTCCCTTTCTTTCAGACTAAGAGTAACGATGACCTTCTAGCAGGGATGGCTGGTGGAGTGACAATGACCAATGGTGTCAAGGCAAAGAAGAGCACTTGTGTATCAACAGCATCCTCAGCTTCAGGGACAACCATGAACAGTTTGGAAAATAAACCCAAAACTATTGCAGGTAAATGGATGTGTTGATCCTTAAAGTGGTAGTTGGGTGGCTTTTTGTTTTCCTCTTACGTACTGAGGATTCAGGCAGCCTAATGAAGTGGTCATTAAGGCCACAGTGGAATCGAGACACCTCTTGTGCTCCTTTCCTGGTTTTAATAATGTAATTTTCTTTTTGCCTGTAAATTTTTCATTACTGGTTATGCAGCTACTGTATAAAGCTAGATAATAAAAACTAGATAATTAATCTAGAGAATCATAGGTTTGTCCAAAATCAGTTAATTTCTCTAAAAAAAGGCATGCCACAAGCACTAAATCTTTAAGATATGATCACTTGTTGCAGCTGACATTTTGGACATTCTGTAGTGCTTTATAGAAATCAATTAAGATTGCTTTTAGAAACCCTTCAGAAAAGTGAAATTATGTAGTGTGTTATCATTACAGATGGAAATATATCTTGCCTTCCATTGTTATATTCTGGATTCAGTAATGCTTGCAGAGCTGTAAAGTATCTGGAAATAAAATAGTAATAATCTATCCTTGTCTTTAGGAAATGAGGTAAAATTACAAAAAACTTTTATTTTGGAGAGTTGTAGTATGCAATTCATTTAAAAGCTTATGTTCAAATCTGGTGAAATGACAGCCAAATTTGAATAGCGCTTGTGCAGTTTTTGTACAATTTATGAGAAGCTGTTGAAGAGAGAAAAAAAGAAACTTGCAAATGTTAAACTTTAACTCATTTTCAAAATAATGGTAAAGCATAACAGTTAGTAAAGTGTGTATCAGTTAATATATAACTGCACTTATGATTAAGATTGCATAAGTGTTTACTCTAAATGTATTTTTGAAATATGCTTACAAGTGTCATTCAGAAAAGCAATGCCTATATTACTGATACAAAATACAGAGTCTTCTGTTACAGATACTGTATTTTAAATTAATGCTCCTAACTTTCAAAAAACATATAGGTACAAGTTCCACAACTAAGCGTAGCACTTCATCTGGAAATAAAGAGTCAAGCTCTTCTAGAGAAAGAATACGTGATCGTTCTCGTTTAAGCCAGAGCAAAAAACTGCCTTTGACTGGACAGGGGACCAATGATACGGTCCTGGCAAAACGCTCCCGTAGTCGCACCAATCCAGAATCGGATATTCGAATGAGCAAGTCCAAATCAGACAATCAAATCAGTGACAAAGCTGCACTGGAAGCAAAGGTGAATGATCTTTTGACATTAGCAAAAACCAAAGATGTGGAAATCTTGCATCTGAGGAATGAACTAAGGGATATGCGTGCTCAGCTGGGACTTAATGAAGAGCAGCTTGAAGGTGATGAAAAATCTGAGGAAAAAGAGGCCATTGTTGTCCATCAGCCAACTGATGTAGAGTCTACGTTGCTACAGTTACAGGAACAAAACACTGCCATCCGAGAGGAGCTCAACCAGCTGAAGAATGAGAATCGAATGTTGAAAGACAGGCTAAATGCGTTAGGCTTTTCTTTGGAGCAAAGGCTGGACAACTCTGAAAAACTCTTTGGCTATCAGTCTTTGAGTCCAGAGATTACAGCTGGCAACCACAGTGATGGTGGTGGCACTCTGACGTCTTCAGTGGAAGGTTCTGCTCCTGGATCGATGGAAGACTTGTTAAGTCAGGATGAAAACACTTTGATGGACAACCAGCATAGTAATTCCATGGATAATTTAGACAGTGAATGCAGTGAAGTTTATCAGCCACTCACATCAAGTGATGATGCCTTAGACGCTCCATCGTCTTCCGAGTCTGAGGGCGTGCCAAGCATAGAAAGGTCTAGGAAGGGAAGCAGTGGCAATGCAAGTGAAGTGTCCGTAGCTTGTCTGACAGAACGGATACATCAGATGGAAGAGAATCAACACAGTACAGCTGAAGAGCTCCAAGCCACGCTTCAAGAGCTTGCAGATTTGCAACAAATAACACAGGAGCTAAACAGCGAGAATGAGAGGCTTGGAGAAGAAAAAGTAATCCTTATGGAATCTTTGTGCCAGCAAAGTGACAAGCTGGAACACTTCAGCCGTCAAATTGAGTATTTTCGGTCCCTTCTAGATGAACACCATATTTCCTATGTAATTGATGAAGATATGAAAAGTGGTCGCTACATGGAGTTAGAGCAACGTTATATGGACCTCGCAGAGAATGCTCGGTTTGAGCGAGAGCAGCTGTTGGGTGTGCAGCAGCACTTGAGCAACACTCTGAAGATGGCGGAACAAGACAACAAGGAGGCCCAAGAAATGATAGGGGCATTGAAAGAACGAAATCACCACATGGAACGGATTATTGAGTCAGAGCAGAAAAGCAAAACGGCGATAGCGTCTACCTTAGAGGAGTACAAAGCCACAGTAGCCAGTGACCAGATTGAGATGAACAGGCTGAAAGCTCAGTTAGAGCACGAAAAGCAGAAGGTGGCAGAGTTGTATTCTATACACAACTCCGGAGATAAATCAGATATACAAGATTTACTGGAGAGTGTCAGACTGGATAAAGAAAAAGCGGAGACGCTGGCCAGTAGTCTGCAAGAAGAGCTGGCACACACTCGCAATGATGCCAATCGTTTGCAAGATGCCATTGCTAAGGTAGTGTTTATAACGTGTTATATTTTAACATCCCATAGACAGCGTGACTTACTGTTGGTCACTGTAGTTCTTTTAGAAGTAAAGGATTTATTTTGCAGTTAATCGGATTCCAGTAGTGTTAGAGTTTATTACTTATTCAATGGAGGCCTTTTTAAAAATTATATGGATACGTTCAGCCACAAAGTAACTGTTATGTTGTTTTGGTGTTTGGGGTTTTTTTTAAAAATACTGATATTTAAACTCTGCAACTTTTTTCAAGGGCAAAACTTAAACAGTGTTTGAGATATAATATAAATTTATGCTTAAATTGCCTGTCGTCTGCAAGAGTTCCAAGGAGTTAGTGCCAAACTGGTGGAAGAGGGATGTCGCTGAGAGAGTACTGGAAATCAAAGTTTGAAGTCATAAGCCAGCTATTGATGACTTGTAGGACCTTTTTCAAGTCTTGAGAGAATATTTTGAAGTTTCAGCTTATCCAAGTTGGTTCACTTAATTTAGAACAAACTAGTGATCAAGAAAGCAGGGAAGTGTTTACTTTCTCCAATCAAGAAATGACTAATTTTCAGATGGACGGAGATTTTACCAAATGTAGTTTGATAATTGACTAAATACCTATTTTAGTTTTAAATTAAAAAAAACCCCTCCACTTTATTTTTAAGCTTTTAAACAATTAATTATTAAATACAGCAATAAACAGAGGTTTGGTTTTTTTTTGTTAATGATCCATTCAGGAGCACCTTGTGGTGACTGGATTTTGGACTGAAATGTATATTTCTAGTTCTACAACAGCTATTTTGATTCAGATATAAAAATGTATATTTCTAGTTCTACAACAGCTATATAGATATAACTAGTTTATCCAGTGAGTATGTCTAGTAAAAACATTTACCATAATGTAAAATAAAAATAAGAATCATAAAATTTAGTTAATAGCTTTAAGTATGCATTTGAAGTTTTATCTTCCTAATGTGAAAAACTTACGACAAATGTAATGTCTGAACTATGTATTAGTTGCCAATGAACACGTTAGTCATGATCACCAGCTAGTGAAAATCAACCTGAATTTGGGAGGAAGAAAAAAAATTTAAAGTTAACGCTGGGTAGTGCTAATAAAATAAAATGCACTGAAACAAAGTATTGAAAGCAGGACATTTTGGCTATTAAAATTAGTGCCTGACTGTGGTGACCCACCCTAAGACATCTCCTCATTTTGCTTGTTTTTCTGACAGCCTATTTTTGCTGCTGGGCTAGTGTTACTGTGCCTCTGATCCCGGCTTGGTACTTAGGCTGCAGTTTCATGAGGCAGGATTAAAGAGCCTTGCTGTTCCTGGAAGGGAGAAGTCTACTACGTCGTCCTTTCCCTGTCTGTTCTTAATTCAGTTCAGTAACTTGTAAGGCTACTCCAGGAGCTACTTCAACTCACTAATGCATCTCTCACACAAATGTGAGTCCTGCTACTTGGTTATGGAAATTAATCATCTTACAGGTCCACCAAGCACAGAAGAGAAGGCTTTTTAAATTCTTTTTCTTTTCTTTTCTTTTTTTTTTTTTGCAAGAGAGAAAGGATAAAGAGTTTCCCCTGCCACCTCCTCCTCCCTTTTCTATGGCAGCTAGGTGTTAAATTGGATCAGCTGCTCACAAAATCAAGCCCTTGTACTGTGGTGGTGTTGCTTCAGTTGAATGCAGGATACTGCTGTTGGAGTAGCTGTGGAGTGCTCATGTATTCAGCTTGGGAGTAAAAGAGTTTGACTCGGGGAAATAGTTGCACTAGAACAGTGCTTTTTGAAAGGCTTACGTTTGGCTTCTTGTCCCGTACTTTTTTATGGTTGCAAAAATATAAGTATGGTAGTTATGAAACTAAAAGTGTGTTTTAAAATGCAGGTTGAAGATGAATACCGAGTGTTCCAAGAAGAAGCCAAGAAACAGATTGAGGATCTCAATGTGACTCTAGAAAAACTTCGAACAGAACTAGATGAAAAAGAGACTGAGAGAAGCGACATGAAAGAAACCATCTTTGAGTTGGAGGATGAAGTAGAGCAGCATCGTGCTGTGAAGCTTCATGACAATCTCATCATATCTGATTTGGAGAGTAAGTGTTGTGAGTTTGTCTTGAGAGAGACAAAATGTAGATATAGAATGCTGTAATAGAGAAAATATTTTCACTTCCCCATCTTACGTCTGAATTCAAGTCAGACTGGGCTTTGCAGAAGCCTTATACACTAGGGGGGGATAAAATCAAGTTGGCTTTTCCAGTCCTGGTAGTAGTTGGTGTGGGAAGGAAAACCTGTGAATTGAGAATAAATGTCACATCTCATAGTTCTGTTTTCAAGTTGTTTTTCAAAGTAGAAGAACATATAATTACAGACTTAATAATAATGTGCTGCATGTGTATTTTGGAGACTGGATGATTGATTTAGTGTTCTAGGTTTTGGGGTTTTTTAAGAATGCTCTCCATTTCAAGTGCCCAAATATTAGGAGTTACCAGGAAGCTTGAGAATGTTTATAATTAATTAATTCTCCCACCTGCAGAAAGGTGTTTTTAGTGGAGAAATAAGTGAAGGGAGGCCCTGGATATTACAGATGTTAGAGATGACTTGGCAGTACAGATGTATTATATATCTTTCTGTGTAGATTTGCTAAAGTCATGAAACTGATCTGGGAGTCTAAAAATGAATCTGACAAACTTCAAACAAGTTAGTATAAAACCTCAGTGGTTGAATCTTATAATGAAATTCATGTTTTCTGTATATGTCTAGCTCTCTGTGCCTTAGTTACCTCTCTGATCTCTAAGACCTGCTCAGACATTCTTACCACAGGCTGGAATTCTGCAATTAGTCTCCATCTGAATAAGAACATGGGCAATTGTACCCTGGCAGGCTGAATTTGCACAGTGCTACTTAGAGAATTTAAATATCTGCTATTCTTCCATGGTATACAAAGACTAAACAAGATAGCAAAAAAAAAACAAAGCATGATCCCTTGTAACAGCAAGGGAGATATTCATAGAAGGGGTTTTAAATTGGTTTGCTGTCAGGAAAAGGCAGTGTCTTAAGCAAGCTAAATTGTTTATTCAACTGGAGCAAAGTGTCTTCAGACATGTGGCTGTCAGCTTGATTTCCCTAAGCAAGCCTTCTTTATCTTGAACAACAATCACTGTTTCTCTTTGCAAAATTGCTTTAGATTTTGTTCTGCAAGTTGGTTTTTTTTCTCTTTCTGTTCCAAAGCCAAAGACAGGTATTTACTTGGGAGCAGGAGCAGAAGCACATGGCCAGTGTCTCTGACTTTGTTCGTAAAGTAGTTTTGTATCAAAGTTTTAAAAAGGTGGAACACTTTTCTGCTTACGTTGTTCTATCCATTAAGTGGAATACATTCATAGAGAAAACAGCACCGTAGTCAAGTAAACATTTAGCTGTCTGCCTAGTAATACCTAATTAAAAGGCAGCTCTAATGTTTAGATGCTTCTCCTTTGGGTGTACAAAGTAGCTGACAGATGTTTCACTTAAACAGTTAGAAATTCAGGCAGACAAGCCTCTGCCTGGGCAGAATTTGTCAACAAAATTTGCGACAGTCGTTGTTACTCCTTGGTTTTGAAATAGTTTGAGAAATTCAGCTGTACTGTCTGATGGCTTGGTGTGATCCTTTAGGGAAGAAATGCAGTATTTCAGTTCTAGGCAGGAAGGAGAGTGGCATCTAGTGGCGGTAAGGAAGGATGGCACCCGAAGAATAAAGAGTATTTTGCTTTGACCACTAACCCGCTATTCATTACAGGTTTGTAACTAAACTTCATACAGTGGTTTCTTGGTGGTAGCCTTTAAGTAGTGACAGCAAAGAGCAGCGTCTCAGAAAATCTGGGACTTGGAGGTAGTACTTAAAACATCAAAGATGGAGTTTTAATGTCTTTTTATTAAAATGACAGAAAAGAGCACACCTTACCAGTTATGCTGATCAGACTTTTGGTCAGTTCTGCTATTCTGGCAGCCAAATGTATGAAGCCTGTGCTTTTAAATGTGAGAATTTGGGGTGGGTATAAGTATTATAAAGCACTAGCTGGAAGAGTGGTGGGTTTTTTCAGCCTACATAACTAAGTGTAATAAAGATCTGTAAAGGTTTTCTCTAGGGAACTTTGGATTTTAAAACATGAGGAAATCTAGCCCACTCCTTCAGGAGAGGATTTGCCTAATGGCAAAGTTGCTGGGCAAATGAAAGTGATAGCAAAACTGGTGATAAGCGATGGAAATCTATCACTTAAAGAATTCACAGCAGACAGACGTTATCCTTAGGAGAAGGATGCTCTGTGGGTGAGGTGGCGAGTGTTTGTTCCATGCAGGGATTCGCCAGCACTCGTCCCTGGGCACTAATCATAATTAGTAAGAATTACAGATAGGGAATACAGCTTTCTAAACACCCAAAAGAAGCAAAATAAAACGGAAATTTCTTTTCACGGTCATCTGAATACCGGCTTGTCGCGTTTCAGCTGTGAGTATGCTCGCTGGCGAAGCCCAGGGTGTCTCCCCTGCGAACCGCACCGATTACAAGC